ATAGCGCATTACTCGCTCAAGCACATGCCAGTGATCATCTCCCGAGTTAGAGGTAAACCAGCTCAACTTGCTCACAACAAAGCAGATGTCAGGTCTAGTTGCACTAGCTAGGTACATGAGCAAGCCAATGATTTAGGAGTTTTCCAATTGATTCCTAGCATTTCTCTTGTCCTTTCGAAGCAACAAGCTAGGATCATAAGGTGTTGGAGAAGGCTTACTATCAATGTAGCCAAAGCGATTCAAGATCTTCTCCACATAATGGGACTGCAAGAGTGTAATCTCATTCTCAACTCTAATTAACTTAATGTTTAGAATAACATCAGCTACTCCCAGATCCTTCATATCAAAAATTTTAGACAAGAATGATTTAACCTCATTTATCACCTCAAAGTTTGTCCCAACTATCAGTATGTCATCAACATACAAGTACAGAATAACTCCCTCACCCCCACCATAGCGATAGTACACACATTTATCTGCCTCATTGACTGCGAAGCTTGCAGATGTCAATGTTCTATCAAATTTCTAATGCCATTGCTTAGGACCTTGTTTCAGACCATACAAAGACTTTAACAATTTGCACACCTTGCCTTCTTGACCTTCAACTATAAATCCATCAGGTTGATCCATATAAATCTCCTCATCCAGCTCTCCATAAAGAAAAGCTGTCTTAACGTCCATTTAATGAGCAAGAAGACCATGTGAGGCTGCTAGGGAAAGTAGCACACGAATTGTGGTCAATCTAGCAATAGGTGAGTAAGTGTCAAAGAACTCTTCGCCTTCTTTCTGAGTATAGCCCTTAGCAACAAGCCGAGCCTTGTCCTTTTCAATAGTACCGTCAGGCCTAAGCTTTTTCTTAAACACCCACTTGCACCCTACAGGTTTTCACCCATAGGATTGCTCTGTCACCTCCCAAGTCCCATTAGTGATAATGGAATTCATTTCACTACGGACAGCCTCCTTCTAGTAGTCTACATCGGGAGATGCATATGCTTCTGAAATTGACTTAGGAGTGTTATCCATGAGGTACACAGTGAAATCATCACCAAAAGACTTAGCCGTCCTTTGTCTCTTACTCCTTCAAGGAGCTTCATTATCATCCTCCTCAGTGACATGTTCATGTGTATGTTCAGTTTGTTCTGGTGGTGTGATTGAATTGGGAATTATTTCAGAGGGTTGGCTAGAACTACTATGTATCCTTCATTGAAAAAAAGCACTCAAAGAAGGTAGTATCGAGACTCCATAATTATACCAACATGCATATCAGGTACCTCAGATTTAAATATTAAAAATCTATAGGCAATGCTGTGATGAGCATATCCCAGAATCTATAGGCAACTCTGTTGAACACATGATTTGAGGTCAGTAATACCTCCCACCACCATGCCTTAGGTAGTCCTGCGGTGTCCAACATGGTATTCACCAAGTCAATCAGTGTACGGTTCTTACTTTCGGCAATCCCATTAGACTCGGGAGAATAGGGAGGCGTCCTCTCATGTATGATGCCATGTTCCTCACAGAATAGGTCAAACTTGTTTGAGAAAAACTCTCCACCACAATTAGACCTAAGTCTTTTTATCTTTCTGTCAAGTTGATTTTCAACTTCTACCTTATAAATTTTAAAATAATCTAGACCCTCGTCTTTTATTTTCAACAAATACACATAGCAAAATCTAGTAGCATCATCAATCAACGTCATGAAATATCGTTTTCCACCCTTCGTCAACACCGCATTCATTTCACAGAGATTTGAATGTAGGAGTTCTAGAGGTGCCAAGTTTCTCTCCTCGGTAGCCTTGCGAGGCTTGCGAGGTTGCTTTACTTGAGCTTAGGAATGAAACACATGCAATATGAGAGCCTTGCGAGGCTTGCGAGGTTGCTTTACTTGAGCTTAGGAATGAAACACATGCAATATGATTCATAGACTTATTGCAGAAATCAGAAAGAGAAGACAATGGAAAGCTTAGAAATTAAACACATGCATTGCATAAATCAGAAAGAGAAGACAATGGAAAGCTTAGGAATTAAACACATGCAATATGGTTCATCATACTCACCCAGAAGCATTTGCCAGGCGAGGCGAGCGAGCGCGCACGTGTGTTCCCCCTCTTCTCTCCACCTCACATGCTTCAAGTGGCTAGGTGGGCATTCCCCCTTTTAAGGAGGTCCCCCTCTCCTAGAATAAGTAAGGTGGCACTAAACTCCCCATACATGTCATTCCATGGGGTGGTCTTTTGTAATTTTCCAAAGAATTAATCTTCGAGTGGGCTAAGGCCCATCTATTAATTCCAACAGGGTAGTCGCCGGCGTGGTGGACTTGCTGGTGGAAGGCTCTGGGCTCCCGCCAACCCGTTCATGGCCTGATGGGTAAGGTACCTCCATTTCTTTCCTGTGTTTATGTGGTTGTGTGTGATCGGTGGAAGCATGCAAATTTGGGACTTATTTTTCTTGATTTCTTCATCTTGGCGTTGATATGATGTTGTTGCTTCTACTGGGCTGATTGATCTTAAGTATTCCCCTCTTTCGGGGCCTGCAACCGGCCTGCCTCCGGTTGGAAAGACCACCCCTGTGAGTTGCTCGTTCCTGTCTAGCCGATTATTTTCTGTATAATTCTAGAAAAGTGGCTATGAAAGCTATTCAGTTCATTGCGAGCGAACAGATCATTAGGCTAAACAGAAAGCAGTGACCATAAATCAGGGGACTTGCACGGTACAAAAAGTAGAAATTGCCTAGACAGAAATTTGCATGTTATGTTCACTTCCTTTCTAGCAAATTAGATTATTCAGAAATCAGAACCCGATGGCCTGAACAACTGAAGTAGTAGAGCAAAGTCTGAACACTAAATTATGTTGTGACTGGTCTGAACAACTCAACTATGAGTTATATTTTCATGCAGTACTAGTAACACTGATCGAATCATTAACACGTCTAGACTCTGATCAAATATGTTACTTCATATCTGGCCTTCAATTATCATAAGGTGAGACTTTGGGTTGGAAGCTAAACAAAATTAATATTCATTGTTATGTCATAATGTGCTGTTATTAATTTTAGAGGGATACTTCCTGTTTTTATTAGTGAAGGTTTGGAATATTCATGAGCCCTCTAGAATTCTTATCTCTCTTGTTTTTATCTCATAATATACTTGTATGTAGGATGTAGGATTTACCTAACTGAAATCTACATGTATAGAGTATTAGTGATACAACACTTTTTTTATGGACTGATAACATGCTGTACAGATGGAAGCTCTAACTACCACCAAGTGGTTTTACTGCTAGAGCAAAGGTTGGCAATATACATGTCATCTAGCTACTATCACCTGCTGGCCGATGCAGACAAATACTAGGTAGTAGTTTGATGTCTTATGTTACTGTATTCAGTGAAACTTGGTCTGCTTGAATCAGTAGAAAATTCCTGAGAATGAGAATGTGAATAATCAGTAAATATTCTTGGACTGAACCATGGTCTTTGTATCAGTAGAAACATGTGTATGCACTCTAAGCTTGGTCTTAACCTTAGTCTTTGAGATTACCTTGTTTAGTAACTAAATCATTATAATAAATGCTATTAAAACTTTGAAATTCATAATAAATTAATGCTAGCTCAAAAAATTGTAAACTAAATTTTGTTGAACTTAGGACAAAGTACTCTTTATACTGCAGTAGCCTAGAACTTCACAGAACTTGGGCCTAAAATTCATCTAAAATTTATTAGTACATTATAGAATTTATAAAATTCACAACTCACAAATTCAAAGTGATAAAATAAAAATTCCTTCACCATAAATTATGTTTATACAGTACCTATTCACAGTAGTAAATTCATTCATTTTAGAGAATGCTAGATTTTTGCATATTTTTGATGTTGTTCGTTACCGTTATTTCTTAAAGTGGACAAATTTGATATTGGTGAGGAGTTTGATTTTATTGCTGACTATGGTGGGAATTCTAACTAAGGCAAGTGCCCCTTCCTTTCAATACTTTGAATCCTATGTTTTCTGGGCAAATGTTTTGATTGTAAACCTTGTATGCGCTATTTGATAATAAATTGTATTATGTTGAAAAAACATGGTAGTTATAATCCACTCGTTGCATGAACCTCCTTGATAAATTTCACTTTTTGCTTATTGTATCCATAGGAATGATTGGAGTACATTGTTTGCACTCTAATGGATTTAATTATGCTTTATATGTGCCATACGCTTAGCCAAGCCTAGTATTATGCTAAAAATGGTTATGGATCACTTATTTATGTCTATTTGAACTATTTTGAACTTATGGAACGAAGTGATTCTCTGTATAATTGCAAACTAAAATGATAAAAAACGATGGATTTCAGACTCAGTCGATTAAGGACTGAACTTTGTGTCACTCACTATTGTTTACTGTACATCCATATATGCTATTTATGGGTAGCCTTAGCTAATTAAGTTATTTAATGTCTAGCCTTGTATATGGTAGGCCGGAGTAGAATGAAATAGTCTAAGCGATCGATGATTCATAGGAATACCTATTTTCCCACTTTGTATACGGGTAGTTTAGGCATCCAAGTCTGTCTAATTTAATGGTACAGTGTGTAAGATCCCAAGTTTTTAGCTATAGTCTTAGTCACGCTAATGACTTGATCACACTGGCTGAGAGCGGTGTTGATTGAGCCACGATGCTGGCTAGGACCTATAAATATGTTGATTGTTGTTCTATTCTGGATATTAAATGGTTTTTTCGATCGTTTTCTTGTCATTTATTTATCAAGTCATCTCCATATGCACCATTGATTATTGTTAGTTACAGTAAACCTTGTACGAGTGAGATAATTTAGTTTTGGTTCATTGCCGCGTTGCTAACCATGAACTATTGCGCACATTAGTAGTCAGCGAGAGATACACATATCTGCATACATGCATGCATACATCCATATTATGTTTTGCATATGCCCTGTAACATACTCAACTCATAACTATTATATACAAATCAATAGAGGAATTGTGAAATTGAAAATAAAACTAGAGCAAATCATTTTAATCCCAGCAAGCAAATAGATGCACGGCTACATCATATAGAAGCATAAATTTATCTACCAAAAATATATGGAGAATTGGTAACCTTGCAAAAATGACTATGAGTTCTAGAACAATTATAAATTAGTCCCTAATCTCAGAGTAACCTTCAATTTTAGAGACCCCGAGGGACTCAAGTGCAAAAGTACCTAATTGTATCAGAATTTATCTAAATAGAAAAATTTAGTGAAATCCCACATTACACCACCGATCAAACACTGCTTAGGTGTCAGTCAGTGAAACAACCACCAAAACTAAAGTAGGTGAGTCACCCAGCCTTCACAAAAAAAATTCACACATATATTAACCAGCTATCTGTGAATCAGTCTCGGTTGCATCGGCTGGAAAACAACCCCAAGCAGCATCCTCAGCCGCAGCAGTAGTAGCAGCCAGCAGTTCGGTTGTAAAACCAGCTCAAAACAGAGAAAAATAGCAGAGCAGTAGCTTAGTAGCCAGCAACACAATTACACCGTATCTCATTCCTATTATCCACAGGGAAACAACAAGAAAGAGAGAGAGAGAAACCAAATCTGAAGAAGGAGAAGCAAAGGTATTTAGTTCTTGGATGAAGTAGAGGTGTTCAGTCCTGCATGAACAGGGATTTTAGCTCTAGGAGGAGATGGCACTCCAGCTCAAGAAACAAGATGGATCAGTAACAGCAGAAGCAGGACAAGAAGAAAGGAAGAGAAGAGGCAACTGTTGTAAATTGGATCAGGAGGTAAAATCAGCAAGAACAAGAAATCAAAGAAATCGGTAGCAAGGGTGCAAATCAAGTAGGAGGTACCTGAGCTTCAAGAAGAGAGGGGTTTCAGTTTCTGGAGGAGCAGGTGGTGCTTCAGCTCAAAGAGGAGAAATCACAGTTCCATCGGGAGAACCATTGAATCAGAGTCCAGAAGAGTAGCTGCAGAACCAGAGAAGGGAACCATATAATTGTCACCTAAAATCATGGCAGGTAATCAAGAGATTAAACTGAAAGTACAATCATATCATGACATGATTCTTGAGTGATGCATATACTAGTATGTGTAGGAGTTGTGAGTTGCATTTGCATCCATTAGAAGATGAACAAGAATATTAAGTAATTTGAGCTGCAGAGTAGGAAGTGCAACTAGTAGGACATAAATATTTTTATTTAACTGAAAAGTAAATATAGGTTAATTCTAGTTTATAATTATTTGGGGTTAGTAACAAGAAACATTTTAGTTTGTCTAGAATTATTACGTAAATGCATTTAGGTAAACAGCTGCACATGCATCTCTTTGGTGAATCCTGAAATTATAAATAGTTAGAATTAATGAGTAGGGTTATAAGTCTCTATAGCAGAGCATCTAGAGCATATGATTCTAGATTAAAGCATGACATACATTAGTTCTGTAAGTATTAATCAATATAAATCGTATGCCACAGTGAGAAATACTAGCAGACTAGCAGTCTCAAAACTCACCAATGTATTTAGTTCTTCATATAGTAATACCGAATCTGTAGGATTGGATGAATAGCAAGTGTACAAGTACATCTTTAGTATAAATGTAGATCCATAAACAGAAATCTATGAGTCCTAATCATAAGTCCTAGAAGAGCATAACATTAGGATCTGAACCTTAGTAGTTGATCAGCATAACTTTGCTAAGACCAATAACATAGAACACAATTAATTACCAGTTATTTTAGTAGTCAGTATATTTGACAACAAAATCAAGATGCATAGTTTTTAGGTCATGTGATCATTTTAGTCATATTACTATGATGCATTTGGTATGCAGGAATTCAAATTAATTCTCTGAATTACTACTCAGCATAAGGATATAAGGATCTGATTGTGCTAGTATAGTGGCATGTAGAAAATTCAGTATCTTGATTACCATTGCATAAGAATAAAAAAGGACCAATCCTGTTTTTGTGATTTCAATATCAGTACTAAAAAAAATGCGCATACTTGATTCATTTGAGCATGCATTCACTCATTCATCCATAGCATATAGTCATCATCCAATTATAGCAAATCAAATAATATAGAACCTACAGATAGCAGGAATAGCACCATCCAGTTGGTTATTAGAACCTGTTCACAAGTATAAAAATTCATCGTAGATTACCACCTAAGAGAACAACCAATCAGATCACGTCACAGAAGTAGGGATAGAAGGGGATCAGAGAGGAGGAGCTCGGGGAGGGAGAGACGGCTGGTCTGAGCCACGCTTGAATCAGGGGCGCTGGGGTTGGGAAATTTCAATCTCAGTCATTGAGAGCAGTAGCCAGCAGCAGAATCGATTGGAGACTGGTGAGGGGTTGATGGCTACGGTTAGCTTGGGGGGTAGACTCATGAGGAGCCACGGAACCGATTCAGGCCGGCAGCGGCTGCGGGGCGGCTGCCGGAGGCAGGGAGCAGCGGCCGGCGTGAGGAGGAGCGGCAGTGTGAGCGGCGGCGCTGGGGAGAAGCGTGAGGGAGAGGAAGAGAACTAGAAAAAGAGAGAAGAGGATGAAGGTGGGCTAGGTGGGTTATGCTTTGTTGGGCTTTTGCTTGTGTGGGCTGTATATATATGATACTATTAAATATAAGGAATAAGTTCACTTTTGGTCCCTCTATTTGTCTTGTCTGATTTTCTTCCCTGAACCGCAAAACCGGATATGACCCGTCCCCCAACTTACGAAAACCGGACAAACAAGGTCCCATTTTGACTCGGTCTTCATCTGACGTGGCGCTTATGTGGCAATCCGATCTAGAAAAATAATAAAACCTATGGGACCCACATGTCAATCTCACACATAAAAATAATAATAATGTGGCACCCACGTGGGCCCCACATGTCATTCCAACTCACCCCTCCTCTTCTTCCTCCTCTCACCCCATCTCCCCTCTCTTCATCTCTCTCTCCTCTCCTCTCTCTAGGCGACGGTGGCCGCTCCTCTCCCTCCCACCCGCGGGCCGCTGAGCGCTGCTCCCCCCCGTGCGCCGCCGCTCCTCTCCCGCCCGCCCGCCCGCCGCCTCCGCCTGCGCACCACCTCTCCTCTCCCTCACTCCTGTCGGCCGGCACGCGCTGCCTCTTCTCCCGCTGGCCGCCCCAACGAGCTCTATCGTAGGCGACTATCAGAGCAAGCGAGGGCTGAACCCTAACCAGCGGTGGCCTGCGGCAGCGGCACCCATGTGGACGAGGGCGTTAGTGGAGACACTACGGAAGGCGGCGCTAGGGTTGACCCGCGCCCGGCGGCGAAGAAGCCCGCGGAGGAGGAGCCCGTGGCGGAGAAGGCCCCGGCTGCCGAGGCGGTGCTCGGGGCAAGCACGTGGCGGCTCAGCGCGAGGCAGAGGTGGAGATCCAAGCTAGGAAGCGAGCGTGCTGACGGTGGAGGCAACTGCTCTGGTGAGGAAGCAAGGCAGCGACGACGTGTGGGGAGAAGAAGGTGTAGAAAAGGCGCGGCTGCTTGCTGTTGATTTTTCCTTGCTGTTTGAGAAGCTTGTTGGTGTGTGGTGTTGCGGCTGGCCGGTGTTGTTGCTTGCTGGTGTGTGGAGGTGCTGCGGCTGGCCTGCTATGAGTGTCCCATGGCTGCCGCCTCACCCCCCGGTATCTCCTCCGCGCTGCGGCCGTCGTCGTCGTCCTATTGGCCCGCCGACGACCTGGTCATCCTGCTCAGCGGGGCGGCGCTTTGCCACCGCCGGCCTCCCTGCCCCCTCGCCAGCCTCACCGAGCGCCGTTCGTGCCACTGACCTGCTCCGCCAGCCGGTCGGCCGCCCCGCCCGTCGCCCGCTTCAGTTGCCGGCCGCCCGTCCCGCGCGCTCAACCGGCGGAGAGAGAAAAGATGGAGAGGAGGGGAAACATAGGACTAAGAGAAGAGAGTAATGAGGATGACATGTGGGACCCACGTGGGTCCCACTATTTTTTAATATTGTATGTGGAGGGAGAAGAGGGGAGCAGTGAGGATGACATGTGGTGCCCACGTGGGGTCCACCTTTCTGTTATTTTTTTTGTGTGAAACTGACAAGTGGATCCCACGGGTTTTATTATTTTTCTGGATTGAATTGCCGCGTAAGCGCCATGTCAGGTGAAGACCAAGTCAAAATGGCCACGTAGGTGCCACGTCAGCGAAAACTGCCCTTAAAACCGCCAAGGGACCTCGTTTGTCCGGTTTTCGTAAGTTGAGGGACGGGTTATACCCTGTTTTGTGGTTCAGGGACGAAAATTGGACTGGGCGACAAATAGAGGGACCTAAAGTGAACTTATTCCTAAATATAAATCTCTCTCAAATAAAGTAAAATTTCTTTCAATTAAAATAATTACTCTTTTATAAAAATAAAAGTGTAATGGTGTCTATTTTAACACTAGATTTTTTAGTCCAAAATTAAATTCTGTTATATAACTTGTATATCTTTATCAAATCAAAACATACAAATATATTTAACCATATTTAACTTAAAAATACATATGGATCATCTAGTTGAGTCTTGATGTGAGAGTCGATAACCTATAGTGTTTGTAGATCAGCTATAATATTAGGGTTAGACATATCATGTGCATCGCATTCATATAAATTTTCTTGTATTTAGTTGTGTTTAAATTGTCTCTTTCAGTTGGATGTTTATCTTGGATTTCTTGGAGTTCTACATTGGTTTATTCCTTTTTCGATTTCGGGTATCTCAGGCAAGTCCAACACCTTTGACCAATTCTTGTTATATTTTCGTAATTGCAATCTATATGTATCACCTTGCATTAAATGATATTTTCTATAATTGAAATAAATATGCTGATGGATTGGATTGACTGGTGGAGCAGTTAGTCATACTATAGATGTATTCTGAACTTGCCATGGTGGTGGGGGTTCAGTTGTATATATTTATCATCATAAGGTTAAATAACAACTGTTATATGGCATTCAAGCGCCGTAGCGATCGTGTCGACCATATGATCTGGAATTGGACAGGCTGGCTTAGTAGTTCTTTCTTAATGGCTTTATCCTGCGGGCTTAAGGACTTCCGCGAATCCCGTGAGCGTGGGCTAGCGATGAGGGTTGCCGTTGTTGCGGAATCCGATTAGATGATGTGGATCGCCGTTGTTGCGGCATCCGATGATTCGCCGTTGTTGCGGGAATCACCCGCAGAGATAATTGCCATATGGGATTGATGAAAAGCTTGTGACCTTAGCCTTGCCGGCATACACCATGAAGTGTGCTTAGGCGCTGGCGTGGTGGCGGTGTAGGGCGGGTATTAAAAGGTTTAAGGCGTCTATGGGTACAGCGGCACACCTCTGCAGAGTGTATGAATTGTGATATGTCACTCCCTGTTTCGGGTAGAAACTGTGAACGCGGCAGGAAAGGAACCTAGCGGAGATTCTAATACCTGTGGGGCCTTATATGCAGTAGATTTTATAATTACTTAATGTGAGTTTTTACTACACTGTTTTATGAACATACATAAAATTCCTTGTTGGATTATGGGATTTGGAGATATATATGTATTATGTAGGTGGATTATGGGCATATATTTGTTGGATTGCTATAGTTGGACTTGTTGAGTACCATTTGTACTCATCCCCTATATATATTATTCCTTTTAGTGTTGAACTAACAATTAGGTGAAGAGAAGATTCTACAAAATTGATCAAGTGTTGCATATTTCTACATAAACTTAATGTTGAAGATGATGAAGATCTAGGAGAGCAAGGTGTTGTTAGTGTTATTATTTTGGGTAAAAAAAACTAATTTCTTTTGGTTTTTATTTAATGGGTTTCGCTACAATTGTTTCTGCTATGCTACTCTATTGTATTCATTTCTTGGTAAGTTGGTTCTCACTAAGGAATGAGCTGTAACCGGTATTCTACCTCAGAAATGGAATACGAGGGTCGCTACATAGTGCCTCGTGATGGAACGGATATGTTCGCTGCCATGACGTTAGGTTTAGGCTGCCATCTAACAGCTCTAGGTCATTCATAGGGCGGAGTCACACTTTCCGTCATTGATGCAAGGGCAAGGCTCACACTTTCCGTCATTGATGCAAGGCTAGGCATTAGATAATGTAAAGGCTACGTTGTGTCCTCCAGATCACATTAAACGTTTGGAGTGTGGTGATACTGTTGGGAACCGGACAAACTAGAGCGATTCACATCATGTGGTTAATGTTGTACAAACTCTGCAGAGTTCATAAAATTAATCGATTAGTTGTGCTTACGGTCATGAGCGACATAGTATGTGTCATGGGTATAGCTTTATGTTTTAGGAATGCTTTTGAACTTGATTTATATACTTGAAATGATGATTGTGCTTGGTATGGGCTGAAATTGATTTAGGCAAAATTTGCTACAGAACATCCAAAAAAACGTGTAATTAGCTGGAGGACACCGTAAAAACGTTTATTTTGCTGTAGGGCATTGTTAGGAAACGATAGGCAAACAAACGATAAAGAACAATAGATCAATCACAGAAGACACGATATTAACTGGAAAACCCTCACAAAGCAAGAGAGAAATCACGGGCGCCAGCCAGCAAAATATCTTCACTATATCGGGGTGAGGTTACAACGCCGCACGGCAGCTTACAAGAGGTATATATATGAGGTGGAACCCTAAAAGGGATGACGATCCACCCCCACACCCCCGAGCGTCCCCAGGTGCACAACCCAATGGCCAGCTTCAGCCTCCGGCAGGGCCTCCACTTCGCTCCGGCAGAAGCTGGCCTTTATTAAGTGCAAATGAATTTGGATCATAACTCAATAAGCATCGCAAAAAACTGGTAATTGGCTGCTGGATACCCGCAATATTATTTTATTATTTTTGGAGGAAAGGGAGAGAGAAACAGTTGTGTAAATACGATTCTACCCTTTGAATTTTTTTCTATTTCTTTATTCTTTTCTCTCTCATTCTCTCTCTCTTCTCTCTTTTCTTTCTTCTTGCTTCTCTCTTGATCCCCTTTCTCACCATGCGAGTGCACGCTTGAGCGGGAGGCGGCTAGTGCGGGACGGTGCGGGGCGACAGCCGGACGCAGCAGCGCAAGCGCCGGCGGCCGGCAACGCGTGGCGATGCGGCTGAGGCCACGGCGGCTTGGTGCAACGGTGTGGCAGTGACCAGCGGCTTGCCGTTGTCTGCGTGGTCGCCACCCTAGCCCCAGATGAGCGCGTAGAGCCCCACCGCTATGATCACCGCGCCGATCACACTGCAATCACCATAAGCTCAATTTAGTTGTAGATTATTAATCGGTTGAATTAGATAGATATTTAGCTAGTTGAGATGATTAATTACCTTCCAAGAGTGATATCTTCTCTGAGAATTGTGGAGTCCAAGACGGAGGTGATGATCATGCAAAGCGGCTGGAACGCCGAGACGAACACCGGCCCTTGCGCCCTCGTCACGAGCCCCTGCACGTAGTACGCCACGCCAGAGCACACTATCCCCTACAAAATGTTCATTGCGATTTGATCAGATATACATCAATTGCGAAAGATTATTCGTCTCTGATGGTTGATTGATAGTTCGCCAGACTTTATTACCGAGTAGACGGCGGTGAAGAGGCAGATGTCGAAACCGATGACCCAGATGCTCATGTCGCGGTGCTCCGCCACGAGCGCGATGGCGCCACTCATCACTGAGCCGAGCACGCAGATGAGCGCCGATAGCCGGTAGCGTGCGGCGGCACGGCCAAGGCCACGACGGCGTGGCTACACGTAAAGCCCCTCGCCTCCCTCCCGACGGCGAACATGGCTGACACCGCCGCCGCGGCCGCGGGTTGCCGCTCCGCCACCCGGCCTGTCTAGGAAGAAGGAGAGAGAGAGGGCATGTAATGACCCGCCTCTTCTAGGGCGGGCCCACATACATCTGGCAGTTTTCATAGGTCATAGACTGCCCTCACAGACCAACACAACTCTTTTCTGCATATGTTGTCCTCACTCGTGTGCATCCGAGATGAATTTCCCGATCGGTCACCCATCCCTAAATTACTCCAAGCCAAGTACGCTTAACCTTAGATGCTTAACCTTAGAGTTCTTTAGAGATCGGCTTCCGGAAAAGAAGTTGCAACTTGTTGATATGAGTATTCTATTAATTCTATTAACCCGCGTGCACCCGGGATGAATTTCCCGATCGGTCATCCATCCCTAAATTACTCCAAGCCAAGCACGCTTAACCTTAGACGCTTAACCTTAAAGTTCTTTAGAGATCGGCTTTCAGAAAAGAAGTTGCAACTTACGCTTAACCTTAGAGTTCCCTCTTAAAACCTTAGCCAAGCATGCTTAACCTTAGAGTTCTTTAGAAATCGGCTTCCAGAAAAGAAGTTGCAACTTGTTGATATGATTATTCTATTAATCCTATTAAGCCCTAGGCCGCGATGTTACATCCTCACCCCTTAAGACACCGACGGCCTATGAATTTCCCGATCGGTCACCCATCCCTAAATTACTCCAAGACAAGCATGCCTAACCTTAGAGTTCTTCAGAGATCGGCTTCCGGAAAAGAAGTTGCAACTTGTTGATATGAGTATTCTATTAATCCTATTAAGCCCTAGGCCGGGATGTTACAGGGCACTTCCATGTGGGGCCCACGTTGGAGTTATTTGAGCGAAGGGCAAACTTGTCTTTAATCATTGTTTCTCTCCTTTTCCTCCAAAAATAATAAAATAATGATGCGAGTGTCCAGCAGCCAATTACCAGTTTTTTGCGATGCCCTACAACAAATACACGTTTTTACGGTGTCCTTTAGCTAATTACATGTTTTTTGTTTTTTAGATGTCCTGTAGCAAATTTTGCCATTGATTTATGATGTTATATATGAAGCCATGCCATGTTATGTACGCTATACACTTGCAAATATTTATCTAAAATTCCATTTCAAAATGTTTGTGAAACAAATTTAGCTTTTTGCAATTATGAAACCACAAATAACCATTCTTTGATATTTAGAGCTTGCATGTTTGTAGAATTGTATTGACTCGCCAGTACATTAACTGTGTTACTGCACTTGCTTTCTTTTGTGGTATTATTTTAGTTGTGTTACAGGTAGTTGAGTGTTGCGGGTTTCGTTGATCTCTTCAGGATGGTTCATTAGGGGCCTACCGCTCGACGGTTGCTTGTGGGAATATGGGTAGACATGCTTGCGAAGAACTATATCTATTTGGTCGACTGGCCGTAGGAAAGTGGCTTAGCTAAATAAGTTTTTAGTTGGTACTAAGTTATACATTATGCCTTTTTGTTTTGATATCCTAGCTGGGATGAAAGTGAGGGACTAGCAATATTCCCGTGACTAGCTACTCATGAGTATGAATTTTGAGCAATTAAGATATTATAGAGCTCTAACAAATTGAGTCAAGTATTCTGGGATGTGTAACACATCTAGTCGTCACCTTCACGTGGTTTGACAGGCACATCTTAGGTTGAAGTTGACTAGCACGCGGAGTCCCAACAATATCTCCTTTGCTCATTATTTTGCATTGCGGAATTTATGGTGTCGATTTGTGATTAGGAGCACATTAAGGTATGAGTAGCCAATTATGCGTCTATGAATCCCACTCATCACAAATTTTCGGGTGCTCTACAATTGGCCATCAATTAGTATCTAAAATGTAATACACCCATGCACGGGATGTAAGCATGGTTTTAATTGAATAGTTTATTTGCCACTATGTATATTGGATGAATTGAGAAGAGATACAAAGAAAACTAAAACAATGCTGAGCAGAGAAAAAATATTATTACATATCCATAGTTAAGAAACATAACAAACCTTAACAACATTGAGATGTTTTGCTGCTATAATTATCCCCAAATAATAAGCAATTATGTATCTATACTGCTACTAGCATCAGATATGCTTTTTGGCACATAAGATCTCTTCATGGTTTGAAGTCGTTCTTCTACATCTGTCATTTCTGGCCTTCTTTCCACTTCGAACTTCAGACAATCCACTACTAGGATGGCAAGATTGTTGAATACTTCTGTGTCGCCCTCCAATAAAATTTCTCTGTCAAAAAGATCGATAGCGCCCTTATGATCTTCTGTATATGCATCTAGAAACGTCGTAACCAGTCTAGTATCTTCACCAGAACTTGCCTTTTGTCTCGTAAGAAGTTCTAAGAGCACCACTCCAAAACTGTATACATCGCTCTGCTTCGTCAACAAGCCCGATTGAAGATATATTGGATCCATATAACACATATCTCCAATCACACATTTAGTATGGGTTTTATCTATAGCAATCAATCTTGATATTCCAAAGTCAGATATTTTGGGATCAAAGTTTTCGTCCAAAAGTATATTGCCAGGTTTGATATCACCATGCAAAATAGTTGTAGAGGTTTTTGAATGCATATAAGCTAATCCTTCTGCTGCTCCTGCTGCAATATTCAAACGTTTCTGTAAGGGGAGGGACTCTTTCCTATTGCCATGTAGTATGTCGTGGAGGCTTCCCCGTGGAACAAACTCATAGACCAGCATTGGAACGTCAACCTCTAGACAGCAACCTATGAGCTTTATGATGTTCTTATGGATGACTTTTGACTGGATAATAATTTCATTTGTGAATTGCTTCTCTTGTAACTTGTCTACATTAATGGATTTCTTAATTGCAACGAGTTTATCGTCAATGAGTCCTTTGTAAACCTCCCCAAATCCACCTTTCCCAATAACATTACATGATTGTATTATTGGCTTAAGTTCTTCTTTTTTGAAAATCTTAATGTTGTCTACCTTTTCTAGTACCGGGCCACCATTCTTTATGAAAAACTCTTTTGTTTTTCTCCTCTCGTCAAACAAAAGCTTAAACAATACTACAACAACCACTATGGATGTGAGACCGATTATGCCTGCAGGGACAATTGACAAAAGTGTAGTACATGTTATTAGTTGCTTGTATTTCAGTCACAGCGTAAAACAAATTATATATACTGGCAAAAGTTGATTTTGAAAAACATCACGCTGGAGATGAATATATGAAAGATTCAAGGTGAACTTATTAATTAGGACAAATAATATATGGGAAACTAGTGCAGTATCCACTAAAATATATAACTAAGACGAATGATTCATAGGTTATAAGTTTTATAAAAAGACAAAAGATCACATCATCTACTTGAAGCAAAAGGATCTGTACCGAATACACAATATATACAAAATAAGATAATTTGCTATATGCCATGAAAATTCTAATGGAATAAGCAGGCAAACATGAGGAAATGGAGTAATTTCTAAAGCTAATGAAAGTTCTTCTAGAATAACGTCAAATTGTTGTATTCATAATTAAGGAATATAAATTAATTAGTTAAGAATTCCTTCGACTAATAGGTTTATGTATATTCATAAAAAAAGGATATCATGGACTATTCTTAATTAGGCACTTACTAATAAGCATTGTTATCTTATGGCATATGGTAAATACTAGCAGTTGAAACCAGAATATTATCTCACTGAAAAATAACATCATTCATTTGAAATTAAGAACCAATAAATGCCGGAATTGCTTACCAAGTGTAGCCACCATTGCAGGGAGGGGAAACAGCTGTGTGCATGTTCCAGTTTTGGCATCACCTTTCGTTCCAAATTTGCATTGACAGTCATATCCCCCTATCGTATTCTTGCAAATCCCATAGCACCGGTACTGATCTCGTAGCGCAGGTTGTTCATCTCGAAGCTCACACTCATCAATGTCTATGAAATAGTTACAAGATAGTTAGTTAGTTAATGGCATTAAAAGTTTAAAACACAATGGGCGGCTCTAGAAATAAGCTAAGCTAGGTATGGATTAGTACTTCTTTCCTTGTTCTCTTTAATTAGGTGTAGTCTTTTGGAGTTTGGAACCTATATATCCCTTCTTTCTTTGTTCTATTTAGGTTTAGACTTTTAGAATTTGGGACCTATGTATCCCGACTTAGGCTATGTTTCTTAGGTAGGGGTTGGGAACCCTCACCTCTTGACATGAAAAATAGAGCAATAGATTAGCACACGATTAATTAAATATTAGCTAAAATATTTAAAAATGGGTTAACATTATTTTTTAAAACAACTTTTCTATAATTTTACTTTTGAAAAACACACCGTTTAACAGTTTGGGAAGTGTGCACGTGAAAATAGAGGAGGAGATGGGAACATGTTCAAACGAACTTAACCTTAGGGCATGTATAACAGGGCCCTGTTTGGAAGATTAGCCCAGAGCTAATTTTAAGGGTTAATGTTTAGCCTTGAATTGGTAGGCTAAACATTAGCCTAGGTTCATATGTTTGGATCCATGGGCTAATGTTGATTTAATAACCACATCCCCTGATTAATACACCAACTCCCTCAATGTTTCTCTCTTTCCCACACTAACTACCTGCCTCTCCCTCCATCGTTCCCGCGCAGCCTGCTCTGCTGTTTTCCTGAATGAAAAGCATTGCTAGCATACTACATGAAGAGCATCCATAGAACCCTACAAAAGCAAAGAACATCCAATAGATACTATGAAGGAGATTAACATGGAGAGATCGTGGAACAAGAAGGCACGGTGATGATTTTCCTTGCGAACTGGCCATGATACGTATATGCTCAAGAAGATCATGGAGCAACAAGTAAGAAACAGTGATGATTTACCTTGCAAACTGGCCAAAGTCTGCTAGCTGATACATAGAGAGCTCATCACCCTTCAGGTGATTTCTGCAACACTGGAGCTCTCTACGTAGTTTTGCATATGCAGAAAGTATGCATGCAAGGAAACAAAAACAAGCAAGTTCTGCACAAAGCTCAGAGACTACGAGGAGGAGGAGCAAGTTCAGTTCCAGCCGGCGCCGGCTCCCGGGAAGCGTGGATACCGGCAGCGGAGGAGAGGTTGAAGCCGGCAGCGGAGGAGCCCGGATCCGACGAAAACTGAGAGAAGAAGGGGAATGTGCCGTTGCCCTCCATCTCCCAATCCGGCGGCGGCGCGGATGGTGCTTGCGGTGGATCCCATCCGGCGGCGGCGCGGACGCGAGTGGATGGCGACGCCGATGGAGTGGTTCAGGATATCGCGACGGAGTGGATGCGCCTGGATGCGCCTGGGAGTCTACGTCTCTCGTGGGTTCCACGTAAAATTAGTCCCATTAGAACAGGTACAGTAAGTTTAGTCAGCAGGCTACAATGAAGTCCACGTGAGATTAAAGCTGAGTTGGAAGAGGGAAAGTGGGAAGAGAGAGAAAAGCCGACGACAGGTTAATCGCCCGGCTATACCCTTGTCCCGCGGCTACGAGCGCAGTGTTCCGTACTTCCCCAGGCAAAACAGGGTGCAGATGAGTTTTCCTTTGTTTGTTTATGTCCGTTGAAGAGAGAAGGAAGGACGTTCAGCCAGAAAAAAACAATAAACAAAATAACTTTCAGCAGTTGGGAAACGTGATAGAGATGATTATTGTAGAAGCTAATCTGTTATGCGTACTACAGCTGACATGTATAGCCAACGGTAGACTATATTATTGACCTTGCTCTTAGTACCCCTTGGAGGGGCTAAGGATTTGGGGAGAGCTAATTCACATTAGCTCAAAATTAGTCCACCTGTTTGAATTCTTGAGGGCTAATTTGAGACTAAAAGGTGAGGGCTAAACATTAGCCCATGAAACCAAACAGGGCTAAATATATGTGTCTCTTATTTATTAACAGCTAATAACAACATATTTATTAGCTGTTATCTCTGTTACCTTGTAACTAAATATGCTGACATGGATAAGAGAGAAGAGCCTAGGAAAATGTCTTTGCTTTTCATGATATCAGCTAAGAGTCGGCTTGTATGAAGTATCCCTAATACTTAAGGAGGGAGTCGTCCTCCTTCCCTCTGTCTAGAAAGCCTCGTCTTTCTATCTCGTCTACACTTCTAAGTAAAAACCTTTTCTCTCTAATAAAACTTTTCACACTAAATATGTATTTCTTTAAAAAAAACCGACCGGTAAAAACTAAACAGCCCAATTGGCCAAAATCTTTCTCCAACACTTAGGCTGTGTTTAGTTGTTTTGGCAAAAAAAATTTAACGTATACGGACACACATTTAATGTAATAAATGTAAACTAATAACAAAACAAATTACAAATTTCACGTGTAAACTGCGAGACGAATCTATTAAGCCTAATTAATCCGTCATTATAAATGTTTACTGTAGCACCACATTGTCAAATCATAACGAAATTAGGCTCAAAAGATTCGTCTTGAAATTTATATGTAAACTGTGCAATTAGTTTTTTCGTCTATATTTAATACTCTATACATGTGTCTAGATATTTGATGTGATGGAAAAGTTGGAAGTTTGAAGGGATCTAAACACAGCCTTAATAAAAACACATTGCAACGCACGAGCCTATAACTGGTCATGGAAAAACGAGGAGACTAGAGAAGTGACGTGAGTTGTTTTGTATCAAAAAGAGATACAAGATCAGATGAAATGTGTAGATTCAAGATTTTCTGGTGCGTGCGACCTAGGGGCCATTGCTCACACTTCCACACCATTGCCTCTCTGGGAGGGATCGATCTCCCGGAAGCAGACACACGTTTTCATTTTGTTTTTTTGTTGTTGTCCTGATGCTTCACCGCCTAGAGGGATCGATCCCGATCTCCTCAAACGTGCCGGTACCATTCTTCGTCAAGTCGGTCATGTACCTGACATCATCATGAGCTGCAGTAGCATTCCTCCTCTTTGTCATCGTTGATCTGGAGCCACCAGCCCATCACTGTGCCTCTTCCTCAAGCCGGCGTCACCATTGATCTGCCATGATGCGGTTATCCCCGCTGAGCTACACACGGTTGCCTTCACCTCCACCAGCGGTTGTGTCTAGCCATCTACTCGGCCGCATATCCAGGTCAGCACCCCAACCTCCTCCTTCACAGCTCAGAAAACACATCGGCCATCTCCACTGTCGGTCGACAAAAACCTGCTGTCGCCGTCGCACGTCGCAGGTGGATCAGCCCCGGCCAGATCCATGGCCGACGGATCCACCGCCCTGTGACTTCCAGCCGTCAGGATGGAAGAAGACTAGGGAGAGAGGGAGGAGAGGAGGCAGGGTCCGTGTGGTCGGAGGCCAAGCCTACTATCGCCCAAGCTCGCCGCCACCATCGCCACCACTCCTACCATCGCCGTGGCCCAGCGCCGGTGGATCGGCCTTGGCAGGATCTGCTGCTCCGTGACCTTCGTGCCCGCTGCCCGATGCTCGCCGACGCCGCTGCCACTGCTCCCGGCCGCCGTTGCCGCCGCCAGCCGAGCCCCCGCCGGCCCGAGTAGTGGGAGAGGAGGGGAGAAGTTGGAGAGAGAGAGGGATGGGTGGAGAGAGAAGGTGAAGAGATAAGTATGGGACTTGGAAAGTTTTAAAAATGTTAAAAGGGAAGAGAGGAGGGAGGCTAGACTTGTAGGCACCGCACCTCCTGCGAAAATGCCCGCATGAGGCCGTTTAGGATGTCCGCTTGGGAAAATAATCAACTGACTCCTAAGAAAACGGTTTTTGCAGATATGAGCAGTTCTGATTTGGCTGCAATCCAAAGGGATCTCTTCCAGAAAAAATAATTCTATATTAGTGAATTCAGTAAAATCGAATATCACAACATGACCTGTGTTAAAGTAATTTTTTGGTGATATTTTGGACATACTGTATTGAATCCCGATACATTTAAGTGCGTCATATGCTAGGTGGTCCAATCTGTAAAAAGTAATTAAATATAATATCGTAAAATATCCTATCTATCATGCCACAATATCCCATCATAATTAAGATACAATTTGTATAAAGAGAAAAAAAAAAGTGAAGTATTAAGGAGTAATCTGAGATAATGTCAGTTGTGAAGATATAATCTGAGTACGCATGCTGAAAAAAAAATACTCTAGCCGATTTACTAAAAGACAGTGGCAAGTTTTTCTGTCCAAAAACTTTCAATTTTTCTACCGTCGAGCATGGGTACAGCCGTCGGCCGTGTAGGGAGTGGAACTCCAGACCTCACGCGTGGAGGTTCTCTATGTTAACCAGCATGCCATATGCTTAGTTATATGCCACTTACAATATTGTACTATAGTTATATTTAAAACTTTTAAAATCCCGTAGTCCAGAGGATAACGACGTGACATAGCAGGGATCTGATTTATTATAAGAAAAAACGAATTCTGATTGTCTGTTCTACATTTTAATATTTAACAAGCAAATTTTTTATTGATATAAATATATATCTTTAGTAGCATAAAAATGGAGTCCTTTCATCCTCTCATCCCACCGCTCCATGTGGGTAATCACTGGATTCATTGTTTTATCCTTAATCATCTTTGTAGCCCATTTGTATTTATATGCATGTACCAACCGGTTACAATGTATGGACATGTTATTTGTATATTATAATGTCAAAATGTGTATGTGACTTACTCCCTCAGTATCAAATTACCTATTGTTCATATAATTGTTCTGAATCAAACATTTTAATCTTCCCGGGCGGACCAAAATGCAAGAATGGAAAGCACCAATTTTTTCCTGGAAAAAGAAAAGGCAATACCTTGGCATCCATCTGGTAGATACGGGTTGCCCTCGTAACCTTCCTGGCACTTGCAGACATATCCCTGGCCGTTGGTCGTGTTGACGCAGAGGCTGTTGCTACTACGGCAAGCCGTGGGCAACGGTTTGCCTTCTGCTGGACAAGATTCATTCCTGATGGCGAAGTCGAGCACAAGCGGCACTCCGCCGGGAAATTTCTTGTCGAGAACATCGTATCCGTAAAGGTCCTGCAGGGAGAAGTTGTACCACGACCTCTCGACCACCATGGCGTAGGTGCACGGGAACGTCTCCCACATGCTGTTGCTCTGCTTGTACATAGAGACCGTGATCATGCCAAGCTCCGGCGCGAGCTCCGCCTCGCAGCAGCCGAGCCCCATGCACGTCCCGTTCTCCGCCTTCGCCGGCGTGTCGAACAGCGAGTTGCAGGCGGCGGAGTAGTTTGTGCCGCTCATCACGCCGTCGATCCGGGCTCTCACGCTCTGGCCGACGCCCAACAGCACGTTCCTCGTCGCGGAGAAGAGGAACGTCGTCGAGAAGTTGAGGCTTTGGGTGAAGATGCTGAGCTCGTGGTAGCTCTCGTTAGTGCTGCAGTCGGAGCTGACCGGCACGGCCACCCGCACCTCGCCCCGCGTCACGTCGATGTCGATGAGATCCACGGTCCACCAGGATTTGTTGGTCTGGACGCCCACCGGATTTTCCTGGTCCCCGAAGTAGTAGCCGTTACCCTTCAGAATGATGGTTCCAGCGGCGGTGGCGGGGGGCGTGGTGGACAGGTTGCAGAGGACGATGAAGTTGATGTCCAAGTAGCAGCCTTCTTTGGTGCCGAACGGGTAAGGGATGCTGATGTCGCCGCACTTGTCGGGGCATCCGGGGAGTGCGATCCGACGTCGTGGCGACCGTTGGTCCACTGCCACGGTCGTCATCCGTGATATGGCCTGCATGACCAAGAGAACGGTTATCGCGGGGAGCAGCGTTGGAAGAAACTTCGATCTCATTGCTAGTGTTTGGTGGTAATGAAATGTCTACGCTTATTGCTTCGTCTTCCATGTATGTGATCGTTATAAATACACGGCGTACTACGTGGGACCCATACCACAGCGTAAATACAAAATAATACACACATAACACGTATGCTCTCTGCCGAGAGGAGATAGCTAGGAGATGGCCATGAATTTCTGTCCGGCCTGCTCCTTCCAGTTGGCCCCGGTTTTGTTGTTTCTGTGCGGTAGAGCCCACTCACAACTACAAAAAACCATCTGCCAGTGAAGATCTAAGGTTTTCGCTGACGGTTTTGTTCCGCTTGCAAAAATCACATGATTTTCGCTAGCGGTTGCGGTCCGCTTACGAAAATCGATATTCGCAAGCGGGACAAACGATTGTTGCTGATGGTTGAGAACCGCTAGAGAAAACACATTTTCTCTGGCGGTTGCCTAAAGAGAACCGCCAGTGAAAATCAACCCACCCCGCCAAAAATCCCCTACCCCAAATTCAAAATTCTCCACCCGCCAAATTCAAAACAATTTATATTTGACATCAATCCAAAATCAAGAGCATCACAAATACATAATATTGGCATCAATCCAAATACAACATTAGCATCATCAATAGAACAGATTAACAACACACAGATTAACCTAACAAACGTCCTTACAAACAAAAACGGACAAAAACACACAAGAAAACACAAGAGGAGGGCAGTGGCGCCGCCACTGCTTGCCCTCTGCTGTGCCGCCACCCGTCACCAAGAGATCCTGAGTTGTGAGCCGCCGCCGCAGGCCTCCTCCAAAAGAGTCACATGTTGCCAAGGTGGCCGAGCCAGGCCGGCAGCGTCATCGTCGTTGCCACAGTCGCGGTCGTTGTCGTCAGCTCCGCCGCCGCCCGTGTGCACATCCGCCGCCCGCCGCTATCGCCCTCTGTTGCGCCGGCGGCGACCTCCTCCCCTCGGATAGATCTGGGAGAGGGGAGAGAAGGGGATGGCAGGGCAGGGGTGGCGCAGGGAGCCGCAGGTCGTCGCCGCAGGCCTCCTCCAGAAGAGTCGCGCGTGGTCAAGGTCGCCGAGGCCGGCCGGCAGCATCGTCGTCAACTCCGTCGCCGCCTGCGTGCTCCCCACGCCGCGTGCACATCCACCGCCCGCCGCCGTCGCCCTCTGTTGCGCCGGCGGTCGCCTCCTCCCCTCGGATAGATCTGGGAGAGGGGAGATGAGGGGATGGGACTACCGCCGCCGTCGCCGGTGGAGAGGCCGGGAGGGAGGAGAGTGAGGAGGAGAGAAGAGAAGTGGATAAGAAGAGGAGGGGATGTGGAGAGAAGGAGAAGAGGATGAGGTAGGTGGGTGGTTTTAATGTGACAAATATTTTTGGGTTAGAGCCGGGTGGTTTATGGGCCGCTAGAAAAAATTCGACCGCCAGCGAAGATTATCTATTTTCACTGGCGGCGCACCTAAGTGACCGTCAGCAAAAGTAGACATATTTTCGCTGGCGGCCGCGTTAGACAAGCCGCCAGTGAATTTTCACTGGCGGTTGGTGCCCCCCATCCCCTTGTTACGACTTTGCTGGCGGCTTTTACATTTATCCGCCAGCGAAAATAATAGGCCAACACCATGAAAAATTGTTTTCTAGTAGTGACTACTATATAGTATAAGTTTGTTGTCTAGTTAACATGTATATTGGGTTAGTTATAAGGTTAGCTTTTTTTTTTTCTGCTCTCTTTCTCTTACTATAACTTTAATGCATACTTCTTCAAACATGTGTAGAGCTGACTCTTGTAGGAAAGCTAACACTCCTTATTTTTCTTTATCACTCTTTTTCACACAAGTCTATAGTTTGTTTATAGCTCACTATTATCCTTGCTGTAATGCATCTGCGCTCATTTTGTAATTTTTTTATTCATGAATAATCTTGTAGAACTTTCGTTTGCACAATGTCGTGCGATTTCAATGCAACAGAGTGCACGTGGAAATATATTACTGCTTGATGTATTTGATTGTAATTCGAGTTCGACGTAGAACAATACATGTGCAAATTAAATTAATAATCGTTGCATTGCTTTCAGCATAAAAAACTACTCTATCCGCTCTATAAGAGCCTTTTAGCTAGTATTTTAATATTGTTGCAAAGTCACGTAAGTATTTCTAGCACTATTCGCAATACTACTTATCGCATCAATAATCTCCTAATCAATTTCCATTCCATCTAACCCCCACCTATCCTTATTCTCCCACCCCCATTCACCCCTTATTTACAGAGGGGTGCTAAAATATTATCCTGTCAACATTAATCCATGATAAACAACATAGAAATTACTATATTTTAGAGCAGATTTAGTACTATCGAATCTTTCTATGGGGATTATAAGAGAGTGGCTCACTACGCCTTATCATCCCATCTATCATGGGCCAAAATGTCTTGTCACGGATGACATCATCTCTAATGGATCAAACTAAACTTGGGCCGTGTTTAGTTGTTTTGGCACAAAAATTTGACGTATACGGACACATATTTAAAGTATTAAATGTAGATTAATAGCAAAACAAATTATAGATTCCGCCTGTAAACTGCGAAACGAATCTATTAAGCCTAATTGATCCATCATTAGCAAAATGTTTACTGTAGCACCATATTATCAAATCATGGCGTAATTAGGCTCAAAAGATTCGTCTCACAATTTACATGCAAACTGTGCAATTTGTTTTTTTTCCACATTTAATGCTCCATGCATGTGTCCAAACATTTGATGTGACGGAAAAGTTGGAAAGTTGAAGGGAACTAAACACAGCCTTGTTGTAGCTGAGACTCAAGGAGATGGCCTATCACATGACATATTTAATGGGTCCACATATAGACATGTTACAGATGACCTACCAATGACGGGTACAAACCCCGTTGAAGGTGATATATCTCACCTTAAATGAGTTAAATTCTTATACCCATCCCTGCTGACTAGAAAAACAACCCCACACCCCATATCTCTAGGGTTCCCCACCCCACCTCACCTCACCCATGTGCCTCTTCTCCACTCCTCCTCTGCTCTCTCTTCTTTCTTCCTTCTCTCTCTAACTTACGTCTGCTACTAATTGTCGGCTACCGCCTTCCGACCGATGACCGATGAATCTGGCCACCGAGATGCAGATCCGGTCGCCGCCGCCACCTTCCGACCGTCGATTGCCGACACTGCCGCTGCCTCCAGACTGCTGGCCGCCGGATTTGGCCTCCAGGAGACAGATCCAACCGCCAATGCCTCCGCTCCCCTCCCCTGGCTGTTGGCCGCCTCCTCCTCCGCCACCTGACCGTTGGCCACCTGATCCAGGCTCCACAAGGTCAGGGGACGAGTATCTGAAGACGCCCGTGGCCTCTTCCTCAACTGTTGGCATGGCCACCTTCTCCTTCACCCACAAGCACTGGCCACCTACTCAAGTGCGGATCCTGCGGCTACCGCCTACATCCATCAACCACCGGTGTCTGCGGCCTCTCCTCCAACCGCCAGTGTCCACCACAACCTCCTTCACCCATGAGCGTCGCTGCCATTTCATCGTTTCCTTCATCCACAAGGCACCGAAAGCGTGAATCCAGCCTCTCTATCTCTTATAGGTTGTGCTTGATTTCATATCTTGCAAATATTCATTTGTGCTTGTTTTCGTATCTTGCAAATGTTCATTGTGAAATTTCAAAATAAGCATATTCTCTGATACTTGTTTGGATTTGTAGTTTGTTAAGATGAAGATTGCTACTTGTGTGAAAAGTGGGAGAAATCACGGCATCGATGGAGCCAGATGATGTCATTTGAGCGGAAAAAGGGTGCACAAATCTTGCAGATTTTGAACAATTTGATTGGCTTGAAAATTCATGCAGCAAGTTTCAGGTATGACAGAGAAAGGCAGTGGGCAACATCGGTCGTGGTAGTGGTGGATCTCTAACATAATTAGTAGTATTGAATCTTTCGGCGGAGGTGTGAAGAGAATGGCTATAATTATTTTACCGACTGTTGAGTAAAGTAAAGGAAGGGAAAAGTGGGGGAAGTCATGACGCCGATGGAACCAGGTGATATCATTTGAGCGGAGAAAAGGGGCCAAACACATAAAGATTTTGGATCACTTGATTGCCTTGAAAATTCACAAGTTAGGCTCCTCCTCCAACTAGATAGAAGCTGAGTGGTGGTGGTGTAGCGAGTAGGGACGGCGTGTTTCAGGTATGACAAAGAAAGGCGGTCGGCGACAGTGGTTGTGGTAGCGCTGGATCGTACAACTCATGTCAACGGAGATGAGCAAGGGGGACTGTCGCCAGACATCATGGAGAAGACAATGACATGTTTGGTGTTGGCAGGTGGAAGCGGTGGCGAATGGGAGAATGGCAAGATTGGTGGTGTAGGAGAGCATTGTCAAGGAGTGGTTGGCCTCGGAATCATTTGTGTTGGAGTGTAATCTGTCAGTTCCCTTTCTCTCGGCGCCCCTTCCATTTCCTCTTTATTCTATTTCTATTAATCAGTGGAGAGAGTATGGAAGGTGGAGGCCTATATATGTATTGCTTCGAGATTAATCTCATTCATCGTGTTGAGTCAATCCCTTTCACGTGGTGTCAAACTTTAGATCCTCTGGTTCCGCTCTCTAAAACCACCCCCACCAGCATCACTCTGGCGCCTTGTGTCCTCTAGCGACGCCATGTTGTCCGCCTCTTCACACCTCCCTCTCCCACCTCCCCTCGGCCCTCGACTCTACTGACGATGCCCTCGACTCTACTGACGATGCCATCAGAATGCAGCAACATGGGCCTCGGACGCGGCGCGTGAGGCGCTCTTTACCGTCCTCAGTGACCTTCTCTTAGCACCCTCCCCTCCGGCTGAAAGCTTCGGCACGGCCACGACTGCCCTCGCCCCTACACCGGTCGTCACCGACCCTCTCACCCCCTCCCCCGCATCCGCGGCAGCCGTGACAACCCTACAGGCGATGTCCATGCCCGCAACGTTCCTTCCCATGGTGCCCATGGCATCCCTGCCCTGGCACCCATGCCGCTGGACCTTGCC